GTTCCTCACGCTGAGGACAAGGTTCGTCACGCTGAAGACAAGGTTCCTCACGCTGAGGCAAGGTTCCTCACGCTGTGGACAAGGTTCCTCACGCTGAGAACAAGGTTCTTTGCGCTGGGTACAAGGTTCCTCACGCTGAGGAAAAGGTTCTTCACGCTGAGGAAAAGGTTCCTCATGCTGAGGACAAGGTTTTCACGCTGAGAACAAGGTTCCTCACGCTGTGGACAAGGTTCCCCGCGCTGAGGATGAGGATCCCCACGCTGATCATGAGGACAGGATTCCTCACGCGGAGGACAATGTTCCTCACGCTAAGAACAAGGTTACACACGCTGAAGACAAGGTTCCTCACGGCGAGGACGAGGTTCCTCACGCTGAGGACCAGGTTGTCCACCATGAGGACAAGGTTCCTCTCGCTGAGGACAAGGTTCTCTACGCTGAGAACAAGGTTCCTCCCGCAGAGGACAAGGTTCGTCACGCTGACGACATGGTACCTCACGCTGAGAACAAGGTTTCTCGCGCTGGGTACAAGGTTTCTCACGCTGAGTGCAAGGTTTCTCTCGCTGGAGACAAGGTTTCTCACGCTGAGGACAAAGTCGCTCAAACTGAGGACAAGGTTCCGTAAGCTCAGAACAATATTTCTCACGCTTAGAACAAGGTTCCTCACGCTAAAGACAAGGTACTTCACGGTGAGGACAAGATTCCCCATGCTGAGGACAACGTTGCTCACGCTGAGGACAAGGTTCCTGACGCTGAGAACAAGGTTCTTCGCGCTGGTCCAAGGTTCCTCACGCTGAAGAAAAGGTTCCTCACGCTGAGGAAATGTTCCTCGCGCTGAGTATAAGGTTTTTCACGCTTAGGACAAGGTTCCTCACGCTGTGGACAAGGTTCCCTGCTCTGAGGACAGGGTTCCTCACGCTGAGGACAAGGTTTTTCACGCTGATGACAAGGTTTCTAACGCTGTAGACAAGGTTCACTGCGCTGAGGATGAGGTTCCCTACGCTGAGGACAGGGTTGCTCACGCTGAGGACAAGATTCCTCGCGCTGAGGACAAGGTTTCTCGCGCTGAGGACAAGGTTCCTAATGCTGAGGTCAAGGTTCTCTACGCTGAGGACAAGGTTCCTCAAGCTGAGGAGAAGGTTCCTCACGCTGAGGACAAAATTCCTCGCGCTGAAGACAAGGTTCCTCACGCTGAGGACAAGGTTCCTCCCGCTGAGGACATGGCTCCTCTCGCTGAGAACAAGTTTCTCTACGCTGAGGACAAGGTTTCTCACGCCGAGGACAAGGTTCCTCACGCTAAGGACAAAGTTTCGCACGCTGAGGACAAGGTTCCTCGCGCTGGGGACAAGGTTTCTCACGCTGAGGGCAAGGTTCCTCTCGCTGGATACAAGGTTCCTCACGCTGAGGACAAAATACCTCACGCTGAGGACAAGGATTCCCCATGATGAGGACCAGTTTCCTCACGCTGAGAACAAGGTTCCTCACGCTGAAAACAAGGTTCCTCACGGTAAGGACAAGGTTCCTCACGTCGAGGACAAGGTTGCCCACGCTGAATGCAATGCTCCTCGCTCTGGGGACAAGGTACCTCACGCTGAGGACAAGGTTCCTCACGCTGAGGACAAATTTCCTCATGCTGAGGACAAAGTTCCTTGTCTGTGGTTCAAGTATTTTGTCACTTAATTACAGAAGATAGAGAAAAAACGTTTAGGAACATAAGTTGCTCTTGGCTTACGACAGTGAGAAGGTTGTCTAGTGGTAAAGACTACACGCTGTGTAATGTACCATTTGCATTATGGTTCAAGTCCTACAAAAATCATTTTGTGACTTAAAATGTGTAATTACACAAGCCAGGGAAAAAGGTTAAGGTGAATAAGTTGCGCTAGGTTTTCAACAAGGAGTGGTTTAGTGATAATGAATACAAGCTGTGTAATATACCATTTTGGGTCAAGTCGTACAAAAATCATTTTGTGACTTGAAATGTGTCGAATATTAATTGAAACAAGATAAAGTTGAACAAGTTGCGCTAGGCGTTCAACTACGAGCATGTGGTGTAGTGGTAAAGAATTCATGCTGTGTGATGTACATTGTCGTTCAAGTTCTACAAAAATGATTTTGTGACTTTAAATTTCTGGAATATTAATTAGGCAAGCTAGAGAAAAAAGGCTAAGGTAAATAAGTTGCTTCCAACAACGAGCAAGTGGTCTAGTGGTAAAGACAACACGCTTTGTAATATACCATTGCGGTTCAAGTTCTACAAAAACCATTTTCTGACTTGAAATGTTTCGAATATTATTAAATTATACTAGCTGGAGAAAAAAGGTTAAGCTGAATAAGTTGCTGTAGGTTTTCGACATCCAGTTGCTGTAGATTTTCAACATCCAACGTCTAGTGGTAAAGACTACACGCAGTTGAATGTACCATTGTGGTTCAATTCCCACAAAAAACATTTTGTGACTTGAAATGTTTTGAATGTTAATTACACTAGCTAGAAAAAAAAGGTTCAGGTGAATAAGTTGCGGTAGATTTCCGACAACGAGCAAGTGGTCTAGTGGAATAGGCTATACGCTGTGTCGTGCACCATTGTGGTTCAAGTCATACAATTAAAAACCATTTTGTGACTTGAAATGTTACGAATATTAATTACACTAGCTAAAGAAAAAAGGTTAAGGTGAATAAGTTGAGGTAGGCTTTCAACAACGAGAAAGTGGTCTTGTGGTAGCGATATCGGACTGTAAAAGCCAATGTCGTGTACCAGGATCGGTCCGAGGACGAATGAAAGAATAATAAAGAAAAAGTATGGCGGACGAAAGAAGAAGACAAAATAAAATAACGGTGAGGCAAATGTTTGGAGAAGATACTACCATTGAAATTAATCTTTAGTAGTTACTATGGTGTGGCGCATGCGCGGTAGACTTATGACAAGCGTGCGGTTGGAAGGTGGCGAAGGAGAAGAAGGGCGAGGGACCCGGGAGAAGAAAAAAAAATTTACTAAGTCTTTTTCTAAAGTAAAATTTACTAATGTATTTTTTATCCATAGCCTTTTTGTATGTGAAATTTATTGCTCTGCAATTAACGATTCTGAGGAGAGATATTGCACTCGATTTCGGAGAGTATATCTGATAAGCTGTAGCTAGCCTTCTACTTCTTTTACCCTATGTCGTTTAGCCTGCTCACAGGCTCTATTATATAGAGCCTGCGACTTTTGTTGATATTTTTTCAATACGCCCCCTTTGAGATAATTGAATATCCGGTAAATAGTAGCCAATCAAAGCAAGTTTTGTTAATTAGATTACCAGAGGTTATTAACAACAACAAACAGTTTCTCGCGCAATTTTACGCCTGTATCTTTCACTAGGATTCCAAAGTCTAAACTTTAATCTAAAATAATTCATGGTCGTTTTTTCCCTAAAGTGTTCTAATATTTAAAACATAGCCCCGTTTGTATATTGCTGTCTTGTTCGTACATTGCCGTTTTAAATTATGTCATTATACTACAGAGACGTAAAATTTTACTCTCTATTTATATCCAAAATATAACTTTAAGATTTAAGGAAATGTATTTAGGTTTTGAACAAAGTAACAAACACTATTTATTAAAAGTGTCGAACAATAGCAGGCTAAAAAACAACAATCATTATTGCGTGAAGTCTGTCATTTGCTCAACTGATAATACAATTAACTCAATAGACAATAGACAATTTGAAAACCCGTGGCCGTGGCATCGATTCTGCCGTGTTTAATAACTACATTTTTTTGGAAAAAGCTCTTGTTATAATAATATGTGTCACTAGTTGAGACTCCCAAAAATAAAGTCTCGAAGAGAGAGCGGACTTCGGTCAAAAACACGCAAACGACTATTGCAAAATTTCCAGGTGTAAATTCAAATTGGCCAGGTGTTCTAAGAACGACTTTCCTCGACGGCGTCTGTTTTAATAATTTGCCCATTGTCTTGACTTATTCAAGACCAGATTGTTTAGGCAGAAAGCCTTGGGGTTGACAGGGAAGTATTTGGGAGAAATGTTCGGAGGCATTTGACAATCAACTGCTTTATACTAGCTGATTCACTGCCTGTGTCGACTCAACGAACGTCTCGCTGGGCTAACCTTAAGTTGTTCACTTCAACGTTTGAAACCGCAAGTGATGCAAACGCAGTTAGATAAATTGTCAGCCTGAACTAGCCTTATTTTACTCTCTCTGCAAAGATCAGCAAGGCATACATCGAAGTTTTCCCTTGTACTTCTTTGGAAAAGGTTTATTATTATAGCAGACGAAGACAAAGTATCGGTATATTACATGTAAACTTTTATCAAATCCCGTTGGAAGTACAGTTAATATTGCTAACCTTCGCTCATCCTTCAACGTTAATTTAAATTGAAAGGTTTCTCAAATACATTCAGTTACTTCTTCGAAGAGATAGATGAAGTCATGGTTTTATACGCCACTGATTGAATGCCAGCTTTAAAATTACATTGCGAAATGTCGTACGAGTTAAATATTTGCACGATATTAACTCATGGGGCACTTCTGACCAATGGGAATTTTGCGTACGCTCCGTACGCATAAATCGACTTTTTACTAATAAAGGTCGCAGGCCGTTCCTCGTGCAGCCTCTGCCTGACAACGGCCTGCGAGCAGGCTATATGTCGTTCAGTGTCAGTATTGACGACCGTTAAGTACGACAAAAACGTAAAGCAATCGCAAAAATGAGCTTGAGTCAGATATTGATCTGCTCAGAGTTAAACAGAAAGAATCGGAAGCCGCTATAAGACGCCAAGAGGATGTGATTTGTACTCTTAACGAGGAGAATCAATTCCTTAAAGCAAGGCTGTTGGCTCTTGAAGAGTCGTTTCTCAAGATAACTTATAATGTCAATAAAGACAAAGAACCTGGCTCATCAGTTTACAAAGCTAAAAGTATTGACAAAGCGGCCGCTTTTCATGCCAGTGAACAATCTAACAAAAGTAACCTCAGCTCAATTAACACTGAATTACTTAATACCTCTCATGACAATAGTCTTGCTCGGCATAATAACGACGGACAATGCAATGCCGATGATTTGAATAATAATCAAATCGACCTTGCAAATGATGATGCTGTGTTTTCCTCAAAACAGCAGAATGAAAATAATACACACAAAGGCATAAATTCGAACTTGCAATCCGAATCGCAGCAGTCAACCAACATAGAAGGGAATAAACTTAGACATGATCTGTCCCCAAAAACCTCTCATGACAATAGCCTTATTCGACATAATGACAACAGCCAATGCAATGCCGACGATTTGAAGAATAATCACATTGACCTTACAAATGATGATGCCGTGCTTTTCCCAAAACAGCAGAATAAAAATAATAAACACAAAGGCTTAAATTCGGACTTGAAATCGGTATCGCAGCAGTCAATTAACAGCGAAAGGGAAAAACCCAAATACAATCCGTCTCTAAAAACCTCTGTCCCGTGCCCTTTTCTCATACGCCGTGGTAGATGTTTTAAAGGCGACCGATGCGACTTTAAACACCCAAAACCATCTGAAACACGGAAGTGCAATATACCATGTCCTTTTCTGCATAAAAGAGAGTACTGTCTGAAGAAAGAGATGTGTGATTTTTCCCACGACAAATTGATACGTAACTCATCCCCCATGCCCTATCCAGGCAATTATGCTTCTCCTGATTTTTTATCACACCAATTCACCAACCCATTTCCGCCGTACCAGAATTATTATTACCGAGAACCTTGGAGAAATCTCCGCCCATTGAATCCTTTAATGGAAATTCCAACCCCTATATGGTCACAATATCCAAATCCCTATTCTCCAGCCATACAGCCCCCAATGAGTTACCCAAATCAGTACCCTTCACCCCTGATGACGAATTACACAAGACCGCCCAGGCGTTGACAGGTGATTACGATTCATCCAAGTTTGTTTGTCCCTTCCTTAACAATTGTACCCATAAGATACCCGATACCGAACTAAATAAGATACCCGTCAGAATTACTCCACGCACAAGACAGCACAGTTATATAAAATCTCTTAGGCATTGCAGCACTTTGAGACCTATACAAGTGAATAAAACTGCCCCGAGTCAACCACGCTTAATTCCATGTTGCTCAGTGTTGAACGCCAGATCTATTGCAAAACCTGATGCTTTTCCTGCTTTGTGCGCAGACATTAAGTGCAATAACATAGATGTTTGTTGTATAACCGAAACATGGCTCAAACCGACTATACCTAGCTCCCTCGTTTGTCCTCCCAATTTTTCCATCATTAGAAAGGATAGAACAAACTGTGGAGGAGGAGGTGACGCGATCTTATGCAGGAATGATTGGAGAATACAGCTACTACCTGATTTGGATAATCCATTCGAATGTTTATGGACAAAAATTATTACACAAAACTCTGAATTCTTTGTTGCAACTATTTACCACCCACCTAACTATGAGTATAATGAGCAAGACCTCATCGAATTCCTTATTGACTCGTGCGAACAACTATTGTTATCTAAACCGAATTCAAATATAATAATTGCTGGTGACATTAACAATTTAAATATTCGATCTGTTCTTAATCAACTTCCATTTACCCAACTCGTTAAGACCCCTACGAGAGGGTTAAAAATATTAGATGTCTTTATTACAAATGTCCCAAACTATTGGAAATCTGTTAAAGTTGTAAAAAGCTTGGTGAGATCCGACCATGATATGGTTATCACATACCCCCGAAACAAAGTTAAAGCAACAAGGACAAATTCCTATTTCAGAGATGTGAGACAACATCATCAATTGAATATGCTTCGTGAACTTGAATCTATTGATTGGAACACGATAATTATGAATAGCCATAACCTAGATGAGATAACCCTAAAATTTTATGAAATAATATGGCCAAAATTCGATAAGAGCTTCCCACTAATTAAGGCCAGAACGTCATCACGCGACCCTCCGTTCATGTCTCCTCTTGTGAACCACCTTCTGAATCAAAGGAAAAGAGCCATACAAAACGGAAATACTGAAGCAAATACACGATTGCAAGAAAAAATCAACAAGTTAATTCGGGAAAATCAATTAAGTGCAGTCAAACAGGGGTTTGGCAACCAGAAAACTGGATCGAAAAGTTGGTGGTCTAACGTAAATAGCATTACATCGAGAAAAAAGAAACATGATGTATCTGTAAGTGCTTCTCTTAACCCTAGTGAAATTAACAAATATTTTCAAAGTGTGAATACAGACCCAAATTATACGACTCCCGAGCCTATTCAAATCTCCGAAGGAACAAGAATTCCCTCGTTGTCAATTCATGAAGTTCAACATCTTTTACGCAATCAAAAACGCTCTTCATCGGGTCCGGACAATCTGCCATATTGGTTTTGGAAATCGTTTGCTATTGAATTAGCTCCTATTGTCACAGAAATTTTTAACATGTCACTAAAAACCAGCAAAGTGCCTCAGAAATGGAAATCCGCTAATTTATTACCACTCCCTAAAGAATCACCATTAAATTCGTGCAACCAGTTAAGACCAATCTCTCTGACGGACATCATCATGAGACTATTCGAGAAGTGCGTGTATAAATCTGAAATCGAACCTATCACAAGAAATAACATTGGTCCTGACCAATTTGCTTATAAAAAGGGTCACAACTCGACTATGGCTCTGATTAAATCCCAACATCAATGGCTAGAGTGGCTGGATAAAAACGCTAATTATGTTAGAGTGCTGTCGTTCGATTTCAGCAAAGCATTTGACAGTGTGCCCCACGATCTTTTGTTTGAAAAAGTTAAAAAGCTACCAATTAATCCGTATGTGGTGAACTGGTTAATTAGCTTTCTAGAAAATAGAATACAAAAAGTAATGGTTGATGGAATGGTTACAGAATATTTATATATTAATCGTGGTGTCCCTCAAGGTACTGTTTTAGGCCCAGTTCTTTTCTCAATAATGGTTGATGATATTAAAACTGCTGATCCTAGTAATGCGTTAGTCAAATTTGCTGACGATTTGACGTTAGGAGTGCCTGGCAACGAAAGTGGTGACACATCTCGATCTGAAGCTGCCTGTTTACAGGATTGGGCGGAAGAGAATAGAATGCCCTTAAACTTGGAAAAAACGTACGAAATGGTTGTTCGCAGACACACCTCTGTAGCTTTGCCCCAACTTATCCCTTCAATTAAGCGAAAAACATGGCTAAAGCTTTTAGGAGTTACTCTACAAGATAACCCGTGCAATTGGGATTTGCACTTTGAAGAAATGCTCAAAAAAGCAAGTGGACGAATGTACATTATGAGAGTTTGCAAATACTATGGACTATCAATTAAACAATTAGATCTGCTGTTTGATAGCCTAATTATGTCGATATTCACTTTTGCTATTGAGCTGTGGGGTTGTGCATACGACGGTAAATATTTGAACCAAATAGATAAATTCATTAAACGTACACATAAGAATGGTTATATATCAAAACGAACACACATTAAAGAAATACGTGATAAGAGAGATAAGAAACTGTGGAACAAAATAACATCAACTGAGAACAATGCACTGCTTGAACTGCTGCCGGAAAAAAGAAGTAGGTTACTTAGGCCTAGAGGGCATGAGTATGAACTCCCCCTAGTGAGAACAGAAAGATTCAAAAGGTCGTTCATAAATCGTTGTCTGTATAACTTTGTTTAGACTTTAATCTATTAAAAACTTTTTAAAACTTTTTACGCTTCTTAACTTACAATTGTAAATATAACTAGATCAATTACCTTTCGATTGTAAACTCAGACGGATGTATCTGAGTATTTTAATAAAGACTATTATTATTATTATTATTATTATTATCAAATAGACACTCAGAAACACAACAAATTCATTCTATTAACAAGTTAGATATATTTTTTACATATATTGCTGATATTTTTTATCCCCGAGCCGACGGCGCGAAGCGCCGTGCGAGGGTACTAATTCCCACGGCTATTTACACCCGGGGAAACGAAAGCATTAGCGGAGTCTAAAGTTCATCAAATATCGCGGGCGTGGGTCACCAACGATGGGTGGTAATCCTCACTGATCTCAAAAATATGGCGGACTGTTATGAATAGCGGATACTGATTGGTCCAATTTAAAGTTTGCATTATAACGACTGTATCACGACAGCGAAATAGCAAACATTTCTTGATTTGATGATTGAATATATTTCATTTTTACTCGCATTTTTGCAAGATTTTGTAAATTTCAAAACCTCTCCCAGAAAGAAACTGCGAAAGAATCTGCGAAAAGAAGGGAACCGACGTTAACGAAGGTAAGTTTGTTTTAAATATTGATTTTATAATGGCTTTAAAACCCGACGGTCTTTGCGTATATGAAACAACTAAACAAGCAGCATATAATTTCAGTGTATCTTTAATATTGATTCCCTTTTTTATGATATTGAATTTTTTTAATAAAAAAGAAAGCAAAGTTATTTGCAAGCGAGAATTTGAAATCATTTTATCGCAAACTCAAAGTCTATCCATAACGGTATTATTAAAGCCATTTTTAAAGGCAGTTTAGTTTTATAACCAACACTAGTGACTTTAGAACGTTTTGCGAAGCGTTTGTGGTTGAATTTTACCTAAAATTGAGGCTTATGTTACGTATAATAACATACCTAACATATATATGTTGGGAAATTAATAATTATGTAATTAAAAGTGATATTTTTAGGCGATTTTTCATTTGTAAGAATATTCTTAAAAAATTACCGTGTTACCATGACAACTACTTTAGAACTTCATGTTCGGAAAATACAATGGTTTTGTCAGCAAGGCGAGGGTTTCTGCATGCATGTATTTTCTAGTTATTTCGTTAAATATTATAACATAGAACTAGAAAATACATGCATGCAGAAATCCTCGCCTTGCTGACAAAACCATTGTATTTTCCGAACATGAAGTATCTAAAGTAGTTGTCATGGTAACACGATAATTTTTTAAGAATATTCTTACAAATAAAAATATCACTTTTAATTACAAAATTATCAATTTCCCAACATATGTATGTTAGGTATGATATTATACGTAATATAAGCTTCAATTTAAGGTAAAATTCAACCACAAACGCTTCGCAAAACGTTTTAAAGTGTTCTTTATAAAACTAAACCACTTTTAATTAAATGGCTTTATCGATAAACTTTGAGTTTGCAATAAAATGATTTCAAATTCTCGCATGCAAATAACTTTACTTTCTTTTTTATTTAAAAAATTCAATATAATAAAAAAGGGAATCAAGTGAATATTTAAGATACCTTTCTTTCTTGAAATTTACAAAGTCTTGAAAAAGTGCGAGCAAAAATGAAATATATTTGCAAGAAATTTATCAATCATCAAATCAAGAAATGTTTGCTATTTCGCTGTCGTATGCAGCGTTATAATGCAAACTTTAAATTGGACCAACCACAGTGTTCGCTATTTATGACAGTCCGTCCTAATTTTGAGATCAGTGAGGATCACCACCCACGCACAGTGAGCCACGCCCGCGATCATTGGTGAACTTTAGACTTCGTTTCCCCGGGTGTAAATAGCCGGGGGGATTAGTACCCGCGCCGTCGGCTCGGGGATTATTCCGTGTATATATTCAAATTATATATAGACCATTCAAAGATTGGCTCGCTTGTACTTGGGAGAGACTCAAGGAGTTCGAAGACGATTATCTCGCCGTGGTGTCGTGAAAACTAAGATGTGATGCATGTAAAGAAACGATTTCTAAAAAGAAGAGCTCTGCGTGGAAACACATTGAATCCAAAAAGCATATCATGTCAAAGGATGTTATAAAAAAAGGCAAAATGAAAGGTCAGAGCATCAAAGACGTCATAACCAGAAATAGTGAAGCAAAAGGATCAACACTACCCGAAGATATGAGAATCTATCGATATGAGAT